AGTGTCTGGGAACAAAGGCAAGTTGTCTTTCCACGGTGCAGAAGCCCAGTGCCTCTTCTGAAGAATAAGAGCTATTATTATTCATTCTTTCTTTTAAAACCAAGTTTCCTTCTAAGGGAAATAAACACCGAAGGTAGGATTCCAAGGAAATGACTCACGGCGGCTGGCAGGGCTCTGGCTAGGCTGGCCCGAGCCCCGCGCTCCTGCCCGCAGCGGATGCCTGCGGGGCCCTCACGCCCTCACGGCCCATGCCCGCTCAAAGCAGGCGACTGCGGGAGCGCCCGGCGCTCTGGTGGGACCCGCCGGCGAGCACCGGGCCCGCGCCTCCTTGGACCTGGGGTCCGCCTCTCCCCCCAACATCTGCAGCCGCAGCCGGGCACTTGGGAAAGTTGCTAAGGCCGAGGAGGCAGGAGGAGAGAAAGCGAGGAGAGGCGCGGAGGCGTGGACCCGGCGGGCAGCAGCCTCAGCCCGCTGGGGAGGTGAGCTGAGGACAGAGGAGCCGCCGCCGCCCGCAGCGCGGCTCGGCTGCTGGGGAGGAGGGTGCGGGGGCGGAGGTGGCGGGGGACAGAAGGTGTCAGCTCCTGCAGCTATTCCTTTTTCTTGCAAACGCGCGCTCCTGACATCCATAACCCCTCCCTCCCCACCTGCCAAGCACCGCGGCGTCCAGCTCTGGGAACATCCTTCCTGCTGACCCTAGAATGAGGGGCTAAGCGGCCACCTAGGACCCCGAGGTCTCACCCAGAGCTGCAGTCCCCACCAGCCTCTGGAGTCAGCTCCTGCGCGCGGGCGATAGTCGGAGCAGCCCTAGTGGAGGCGGCGGTTCCCGCCCTGGTAAAGGGCCCCGCGGCGCATGCTAGCCCCGGGAAAAGCCCGCGCCGCCTCCGCGCCCCGCTATGCCCCGGCCACCTCGCTGCTCTGGCCGCCTCGCCGCTCCCACCCCGCAGCGGCCGCCGCGAGTCCACTAGGTGACCCGGGCGCTGCCCTGGAGCCGGGGGGCGCGCCGGAGGCCGCGTGGGTTCGGGTTTGCGCCGGCAGGAGCCCGGAACCTGGCTCTCGCCCTCCGCCCGCCCCGGCCTCCACCCCCGCCACCCGCGCCCAGCCGGGTCTTACCGCGGGGTCAGCGGGGAGGCGGCGGCGGCCGCAGCGCTTGGGCTGCCGCTGGTCCGCTCTAGGCTCGGCGCCAGCCGGACCACCGGTGCACACTCGTGCCGGTCCCGGCCAAGCGGCCCGGTCGGCGGTGGCCGCTGGTGCGCGGCAGGCGAGGGTCCCGGCAGGTCCCGCCGCCGCGACTGGGGTGCTGTGCCGCCGTCGCTGCAGACGGTTATGGTAATGAGCGGCTCTGTCTAGCGAGGAGCGTGTGAAACCCGTCAATCCTGTTTGCCATTTCCCCGTGGATTTCCGAGGAGAGGTTCTGCAGGATGCCCCCAGGGTGAGAGAGGGAACATGACAAGCGCGCCCGCTCTCCCTCCCTCTCTCTGCTCCCGCCGCCGCAGCCACCGCTCCTCAGGCAGCACACGGGGCGCCTTCCCCTCACCCCCACCCCAGCCCGCCCCCTGCCTCCTTCCCTCCTTCCCGCCCTCCCTCCTCCCTCTCCTCCCCTCCCCTCCCGGTGCCCGGGGACACGCGGGCCCAGCTCCAGCCCGCAACCCAGACCCCACGCGCATTCGGCTCCCGCCCTAACCCTAGGGGCTCGGCTCCAACCGAATAATGTATTCATTCTGCAACCTTCTGAGATGTCTTGTCTTTTTTTATTTGGTTTAGTTTTGTTGTGTGTGCATATGATTTAAAAAAAAAAAAAACTGTGCCTTTCCCACCCTTTGCAAAAGACTTTCTTCTCCTTTGCCACAGCAAACGGAGATGAGAAACAGATGTCTGTGCAGGACCAAGCAGTTATTCTCCTCTCCGCCGCCGCCCGCCCCCGCCCGTTCCCCTCCTGAGCTGCATATGTATAAAAAAGCAACCTAGGTCCTGCTGCAACTTGAATTGGCAACTCTTTCTGGGTGGGGATTCTCTGGTGAAAACCTCCAGGGGAAAAAAAAGTAATAAAGGAAGCTATCCTTGGTCAAAAGAATGTAATTTAAGCTCCAGAATCACACTATTTTGCAAATAGTGGTTTTCCCCTATATTGGACTCAATTGGAGTTTGTATTTTTGAAACATTAATTCATAACTTGTGTCTAGGGACCCCTCCATAGTTGAGAAGGGTCATTTCAGGTGTAATGAACACAGGGGCTTGGAATGCATACACCTAATAAAATCGGGGGTGGAAGAGGCACCTGCACAAAAGTGTTACAAGGACTATCGTGTTTGTTTACTGCTACTATGCCAGATGTGCTAAATATAACACTTCTTTAAAACAGTGATCCGCCAACTGAAAAACCAGACCTCTGGCTGCCTGACTCCCTAGGAATCAGGGAGATGCACAGACTGAAAATCGGGGAGGAAAGGAACAAGATCAAGGATGAGGATTAGCATCTGCAAATTGAACTCTATCTAATTTGCATGTTTATTTCTTAGAATTGTAATTAAATTTGTGTAATAAATGTTTTCCATTTCATTTGTATACTTAAAATTTGGGTGACTGACATGCAGTTAAGTGAATTTCCTTTTTCCTTTTTAAAGAAAATGTGGTTTATTCAATAAAGCAGCAAACAAATATTAAGCATAATTAGAACTAATCTGTTTTGAAGGTGTTTTTGTTGAACTTTGTACATTAAAGACACTCAGAGGTTTCAGGGGTATTAGGAAGCCTGGAGGAGACAATTATGCTGAAAACAGACTAACCCAACAGACTATCAGGAGCATTATTTCATTTTTTCCACAAGACATTCCAGGGTTGGATGCCTAGAATTGGGAACCGGCACCCGTCCTGGCTTTATTTGAAACTATATCAAATTGCATTGGCTAATGCATGATGCAGGTCATTACAATGATGATTTAAGAATTGTAAAGATGCCATTTATTTATTTATTTATTTGCAATCAATGAGAGTTGTAGTCCAGGTTAAAGGTAGAATATAATTTCCATTTGGGTCAGGGAGGAGGGCAAGGAAAGGCACAAGGGCATTCAAAGCAGTGTAAGTACTTGAGAATTCTAAATCTGTATGTAAAACTGGTTATTGTCTAACTCCAATGAACTAAATGTGAGGGCTTGGAGGCATGGCTTATTATTGTTTTTATCTCTCTGTATTAAAGTTTTATAGCATTTAAAGGACTATGGGGAAATCCACACACACACACTTGGCTGTGTCAAAATACATAAAACTAAAAGGAGCAAATTAAGCATAAAATTGAGAAATAACATGAGACTAAGAATCAGCATGGGTTGCATTGGCATCTTTGGAGCTTTGCTTTGTCTCTGAGAAATGAGCCTTCTGGGAAATTGGCATTGCCCTAGGGTGAAGAGGACTCTTGGCTTTTAATGGTATAACAAAATGACATCACAATACAAGAATCAAATCATTATGCTTCCCAGTACCCTTGCGGCTCCGAGTGTGAACCTGACCCTGTTTCCTTCAGATATGACATGCCAGCATGTCCTATTGCCGGCTTTCCTTGCCTACTTTTAATCCCAAGTTTACTGTTTTCTGAGATTCAGTGCCCAACTGTTGACAATGTGAACCTGTGTCTACAAGTAGAAAAGGCAGCCATATGTCTATGGAATGAGAAACATCATTTAAAAATTTAAGGTAAGTGGCAGCTATGGCTCGAGTAAAGAACTAACAGCAATTCAACAATGAAATATTTGGAATGAGTGAATGCTATGTATCAGGGACACTATTCGACTGAGAACTATGACATCATCATTTTGGGATATATGTGGATATGTGTGTGAGTTTCCAAGATAGACGGTTGATTATAAAACTTAAAATATTTTGAGCTGCAAATTCACTGAAGGCAGTGATTGTTTTTCTACAGTTAACAAACAGAGTGCCAGACTTAAAACTGCTGAAACCCATTTCACAAAATCTTTTACTCATTTGAAAGGGAGATTTTTGCAAGTAAAAATCTGACTTATTCAGATTTCTGTGGACACAAACCCTGTTTGGATTAATAAAGTCTGAATTACTGGCTTTAAAAAAATGCAACTCTTTTAGAACAAAAAGAAGCACTCAATCAAATTCCTCTTCTCCCTTCTTGGGACTTTCTCTAATTAGACTTTCTTATCCAGTCATTTCATTGAAACTATTCTTGTCGTTGTCACCTATCACTTCCATGTTGCTAAATCCAAAGGTCTTTTCTTGTTTCTGCTCTTTCTTGACCTGTTATTAGTGTTTGAATCAGTTGTTCAATTCTTCCTCCTTCAAATACCTTTTAAAATGGCTTTCAGGATAACACACTTTTCCTGACTTGACTCTTACTTTACTGGGTGATCCCTTCCAAGGCTCCTTTGATGATTCCTCCTGGGACCTCAAAATGTAGGTCTCCCTCAAGCTCAGCCCTTGAACTTCATCTCCGCTCTACAGGTCCTCCCTTGTCAATCTGATCCTGTCTCTTGGCTTCAAATATTGTCCAAATCTGATGACTCCTAAATTTATATCTCCAGCCCAGATTCTCTCCTGACCTCCAAACTCCGTTTAGATGTCTAGTAGGTGTCATAAGATTTGCAGATCTAAAACTCAATCCCCGATTGTCTCTGCCCGCCCCCCAACCTGTGCTACCATTGACATTCTCTATTCATTAACCACATTGTCATTGTTTTTCCAGTTGGTCAGGCAAAAAGTTTAAAACCATCCTTGACTCTTTTCTCCCTCACACCCTACAACTGACACATCAGAAATTCCTCAAGGAATTTCTTTTAAAGTTTTCTAGACACTGATCATTTCTCAGTATTGTTACTACCATCACCAGTCTAAGCCATCAGCACTACCTCATGCTTGGGATATTGCAATAGCCTCCTAACTGGTCTTCCTGCTTCAATCTTTGACCCTCTTTACAGTTTAGTCTTGGCTCAAAATTGATGTCACTGATGTTAGTTTTTGCTAAGACTCTTCCTAAGGTTCTCTATTTTACTCAAAAGCCAGAACTTTGCAATGGGCTGCAGAGGCTGACACTTCCCTGAATTTCCTTGACCTCACTCTGAGCTGCAGTCACTCCAGTCATTCTGCCTTCTTTCTGTTCCTCCAACATGCCAGGTCTTGCTAGCCTCAGGATGTTTGCACAGGCAGTTTCCTGTGTGGAATGCACTTTCCCAGATAACTGTGTAGTCCAATGCTCACCTCTTCCACATCCTGCTCAAATATCACTTTCTTAACAAGTCCTGACCACAGTGCTTAAAATGTGAACACTTCAACTCTATATCCTTCTTTATTTTTATCCAGAAGATTGATTAATAAGCTCTGTGTTTTATGTATATATTCTATTTACCACTTCTCTCTTTCTGCTAGGAAGTAAGATCCATATGGCAGATATTTTAATGTTTTGTTTTTTTTTTAAATTTATCCCTGTCTAAATCTTCAGTGCCTAGTACACCAAAGACAATAAATACATGTATTGATTGATTGAGGATTTGATCGAAGGTTGTTTCACATATGTACAGAAACCCAACAAGGCTAAAATAGAGCTATTCTAGTGCATGTAGAATGGTGAAGCAGACAGTTTATTTTGTTACCAACTCATTTGCCTCTTGTAGAATTCTTTACCTCCGTGTTCTCATCCATCTGCAGCATTTCAAGACCTGAGGATACTGCCAACGTCCTTAGCACCCAATGGTCTCATGCTGCCCTGCCTGCTGGAGAGTCTCCAATACAATGTCATCAAGTGGTGCTGGTGCTCTGGACCAGCCCTCCTTTCTCCCAACCCAGATTTCCGTCATCACCCAGATGCTTCTCCTAAGCTACCATCTTAGACAAAATTACAAAGTATGTGAAGTTGCTCTCCAGGACCCTATAGTGTTACTTCTTGGCAAAGCCACCTTTGCAGAAGCCCAGAACTCCTCCACTTTCTCACCTTCCTTCAAAACTCACTCAGAAAGGCTTCAATAATTACATGCCTCATATATGCAAGAGTTGAGCTAGGCAAGACGGGTAAAGTAGAAATGAGTAAGGAACAGTGGGATGATCCAGAAAGATTCATTTAAGAAAGTAAAATCTCAGAAGTTGACCTTGAAGATAGATAGCTGTCAATACGTAGAAATGGGCAATGAGTAAAAAGTTTTCCAAGCAGAAGAAACAACTGGAGGAAAGTCATGTAAGTTGGAAAGCAAAAGGTACTTTTAGAGAAGAGTGAGTGATCCGGTTTTACTAGAGGGCCTGGTAAAGTAGAAGATAGATGAAGCTGTATCATAATAGACACTGAAAAACAAGATGAGCTTGATTTTCATTCAATAAGCAATGAGTTCATTAAAGAAGCTTGAACTGGGGCATGACATAGTCAAAGCCAAGCTTAAGGATGAGTGAGGTCCAATGGAAAATGGTATTGGGAATAACAAGCAGAAATCTCTTTTGGCCACCTAGAGAGGAAAACTGTGGTTCTGCATTTGAGTGCAGGTCTCTGAGTGAGAAGAAGATAGGTGAGATGCCACAGGTGTGAGACTCTTGGACAGGTGTGAGATGGAATGTTTGGGCTATACTTAACTGTGGGAAAGAGGAGTGGAAAGTGACGCTGAGGTTGCTGGTTGAGTTACTGTGTGGTCAAGAAACAGGTTTGAAGGGAATAGGATGTACTAGCTCTGGGTATGTTGAATGTGAGGTGTTTATGGAACAGACAGATGGAGCATCCAATAGACATCTGAATGTCCTGGTCTAGCTGAGGCAGAATAAGAGAGCAAATTATAGAACCGTATCATTATTTTAATATATATTGAAGCTGAAGCCTTAGAACTTGGTGCAATGGTTGAAGACATTGTCAAGACCCCAAGAGTGAAAGAGTTATATCACTACTTTAAACAATCTATTAAATGCATTTATTTAGAGGTGAAAACAACATTTGTGGGCTAGATATGTGAGTTATTTCAGTATCATCTGTAGTTAATAGTGTACATCCTTTGGCTTAAATTTAAAAGAAGAAATTAGGGATGGGGTGGTAGAGTTTTAGCAGCAGGAATCTCTCCAAACTGCCCTGAAAGCATAACACAGAGGTAATTTTATGACATGTTTCTGCATGTGGCTGAATTTACTTATGTGCCATCATAGGTGGAAAGTGATTTGTTTCATCAGATAATCCTGAAATAATCCCTGAAAAGATGTTCATTATTGATCATGAGCTCCGAGTGTTATCTCTCTCAGGGATATTTGCATTTTAATAGGAGTATCATGACTTTAATCAAAGCAATTAATAATTAATGACATGATTTCAGATGTAATACAAGTCAGTAAGTATTATTTCTTAATGGAAATTCCATAACATATATCGTCCTTGCTCAGGGTACTATTTGGGGGGACCTACATTGGTGAATAGCTAGGAATGATTTACAGTAAGCTTACCAATTATGTGTAGAGAGATGTTCTTCTAACATTCTTGGTAATTTTTTAATTAAAATATTTCCATCGAAATTCCCTTAATATTATTAATACTATATTAGCTAAAAAAGCATGGTAACTAGGTGTCCAATGACACCAACATTCATCTCAAGACTTCAAGGAGAAAATGGGTCCTGAGTCATGTATGAATTTGGGTTGGACCTGGATAACCAGAGAGGAGGAAGACCCTCTGTGTGACCCACATGTGACCATGAGTACTGAGTACTCCAGAAATGAGGGCACTGGATGAATCAAAGCCAACTCGATGCTTTAAAAAAACCTTCCTGTTTGGGAATATGGCCGGGCTGTTGTCAGGAGCACAGAGGGAGGAGGGAAGAGTTGTTTGAGCAAAAGGTAGTGAAAGAGTGTGTGTGTGTGTGTGTGCGCGCGCGCATGTGTGTGTGTGTGTACACGCGTGTGTGTGTGTTTGCGCGCAGGCGTGCTTTGGAAGTGGACTGGGTTTAAACTTTTTACGTAATAAACTTGGATAATAAGTTAATGAGAAAATGGTGACATGACTATTTGCCAGAAATATCACTTTTTTTTTTTGGTTGTTGTTATTTCCATTTCTCTTTTCCAGAGATTTTCTTCCCTGTATCCTTTTTATCCTTTTCCTTTTTTTAAAAAAGAGCATATGTAGTTTTTTTTCTTCACCAAAAACCCAACACACAAGATCGACACTTTCTAGAACACTAATTTTGAAATCTGAATTACTGAATACAGAGGTGCCATGTTTCATCTGAAATCTAAATGCAGATTTTGGGGAGGCCAGGGAGAGGCTGTGCAGGGTGGTGGTGGTAGTGTGGGATGTCCAGAGCTGGACAGCGACACATAAGGCTGTTTAAGCCTAAATATTATTCTCATTGTACAACAACAGAAGCCTCCTGAAACCCTCGTTTTATCATCCCAATAGAAAGAAGATATAAGCCAAGGGGCAAAAGATCCAAAAAAGGGGCAGTATATGGAGAAACTACAGCCACTCATAATTTGATTCAAACTCCCTTTCCTTCTCTTACATGCCTCATCTGTACATTGTTATAAAACAGGCAGGCTAAACATTTTATGCACAGATTAGCATAGTCAGTGATACTGTGTCATCACAATCAAGCTGCACATAGAGAATTAGCCCAACATAGTTCTTTCAGGAGCTGTGGTATCTGAAGACATTGGCAGTATTTTCTTTTTTTTAGCTCAAATTTCACCTACAAGTCTTTATACATTAATGTATACCTAGTCTGTTTCTGCTTTTTATATAAGATTCAAGCCTCAAAGAAAAGTTTTGGTAACTGACAAGAATACATTCCAATTAAGTCATAATTTGAGCTATTTTTAAAAAGTATAGAGCTGGGCGCAGTGGTGCACTCCTGTAATCAATCCCAGCAGCTCAGGAGGCTGAGACAGGAGGATCATGAAGTCAAAGCCAGCCTCAGCACAAAGCAAGGCACTAAGCAATTCAGTGAGACCCTGTCTCTAAATAAAATACAAAAAATAGGGGTGGGGAATGTGGCTTAGCGGTAGAGTGCCCCTGAGTTCAGTCCCTAGTCCCCCTCCCCCCAAAAATTAAAAACAAAAACATTCTGTTTTTAAAAAAGGATAGAGATTTTAAGTGCCATCATAATTCTATTTATTAAATTTAAGTTGTATGCTCTTTCACTACTAAAATGATTAACACAAAGTTTAAGTGAAATGTGTCCACTTTCACAAGCATGTTTTTCATAGATCAAATATGTTACAGTAGAGATCTAGGATAGTTATGAAGGCATAAAGCCCTATTTAGGATAAAAGTATAAGGGAGACATAGCATTTGCTAATCATTTTTCTCTCCTGTAGGTAATGGCCTTGGTTTAAAGCTCTTGATTGAATGACCATGTATACAACACAGAGAGAGTGAACTATGTCAATAACTGGTGCAGGAAAGGAGAACTAGGGGGGGATACCAGGAGAAAAATTCATCTTTAAGCATTTCTTTGTATTCCTACTTTATGAGTAGTAAAAAGCATGCAGGCCTATCAAATTTCACAACAAAACCTGCTTATGCCATCGGAAAGGTATATTTATTTTCCACAATCTAAAGGGAAAGCCATACAATTGGTGCGGAAAAAAAAATGGAGAGAGAGGCAGAAGGAGGCGGTGGGGGAGAGAGAGAGGGCGAGAGAAAGAAAGAAAAGAAACAACCTGCAGCAGACATCACCTGAGCAGGAAATTACACATCCTGCACACACAGGCAGGCTCTGCACACACATGCACAGAATTCATCTCTGACAATTTAATTGTTTAATGGTAGGACTAACAAGGAATCCTTTCTAAAGTAATGGCATATAAAGGCTTCCTAGTGAAGTTAATATTCCTGCTGCATTTGATGGGTGTTTCCCATTTGTGCAGTTCTGCCCTAACAGACTCCTGGTGTTTGATGGGGAGAAGCAGGAGGGGTGATGGGTCTGTATTCAATAGCAGGATCTGGAGAATGCCTTAGCCTGTGACCTTAGCCATTAAAACAAAAAATCCAAGGCCATGATTGGCACCAGAGCAATTGCTTACGTGGGTTGTAATGTCTTGGCTTGCAGTCCTAAAGATCTGGTCTTCGTGGACCACAGGCTGGGTGTTTCAGGCACAAAGTCCTGCTTGTAGAGTTGTCTGTTTTTGCTCAGTTCACTAGAACCAGGGTTTGGCAGCCATTTCTGCTGAGGTTGCAGGACTTCAGTGTGACCAGTCTTCTAGATAATGACATGCGTGATGCCTCAGCTGCTCTGGTTTGAATTCTCATCCTGAGTCACAGACTCTTCTCATATTTCCTTAGGTTTCAACCTTGCTCCTAGGCTTTCATTTGATCCCCGGATGGCCTGCCTGTTACAGCAGTGTACATAACCATGAACCCTCCTTGGAAGAAGGACCATCTCGAGAAGCAGGAAGTTTTCAAAGCAGACCCTAACGTTCTCATTTGGTAATTTCCATTCTTAATACATTTTACGTTCTTTTGCTCTGAGTGACTTGGCTTTGGATGGAAAACAAAGTTTCATTGCCTGCATCAGAGGAACTCAGTGGAGGTGGTCTGAACACCATGGAAAAGTTGCTTTGCTCTGCAGCATGTTTCCCTGTGGTTGTGAACCACCAGCATGCTGTGCCGGCTCCTCTCACTGAAGCACTGTGTCTCTCAGTCAAGGAAAAGGCTTAGTAGGCAGAGTTGGAAATGACAGACTATTTTTAACACGAGCTTTCTATCCCACAGCTCTGGTTCCTACTTCTATTATCATTACTTATTCATAGACTTTTATTCCCAAATATCATTACCCTTTACCGTAATAGGATCAGCAAAGCAACCACTTAAAACAAAACAAACAGATGCAGGAATCTAAGTCCTGTAGTGGTCCTGTTTTCTCCACTGTGCCTGCTCCCTGCCTCTCCCTGACTACCTAGGGGAGAAGTTGATTTTATCAGTCGCTAAGCAGCTTGGCTGCTTCAGAAATGCCAGAGTAACAAAGGGACTTGGCACCAGAAAAGGTGTGAAGGCACCAGCAGTCTAGGAAAACAGGAGGGAGGTAACAAAATCTAAGAAAAAAACAAGGGAGGAAGAAGGAAGAGGAGGAAGGTGGGAAGTGTCAAGAAAACTAAAAAGAATACGCAGTGTGCATTCCTTAAGCTTAGAGTCTGTGGAGGAAGACCCTTCTAAAGCAGACCCCATTTAATTTACAGTGAACCTTAAGTGGGATCCTGGGGTTATTCCCTGCCTTCTAAAGATAGCTACAATGTACTGAGGACCTGCTATGTGCTTTCTATATGTTATATGATTTGCACATCTTTTAATAGTGGGTATCATTTTTTTCCTCCTTTCACATTCATGAAGACTAAGGTTGAGAAAGCCTGAGTGGCTTATCTAAAGTTGTATTTCTTAACTTAGTGGAACTGGAATGTAAACTTAGATTTTATGAATCCAAAAAACTGTGTCCATAACCATTACAACTTTTTCATATTGACACCCACAGTGATACATGGCCTTGTATTTTAATCAGTCGTTTGTCTCTCCACTCATGCATTTATTCACTATATACCACCTTGTTCCAGAAGTGATTTAAGATAGTGGAAATGACTTGGAGTTATACATATCTAAGCAGCTAGCACACAGTACACTCCAAGTATTTGTTGATCAACAGAGTGGTAGAACCTTGATTTGTTAAAAGTTTAGGATTGTTTCACCTTTGCTTTTTTTTTTTAATCCAGAAACTCATCTGTGGTTTGGATATGGAGACAAGAGACTGGATAAATCCATCTCCCCAAATCTCTTATAGACCTAGGCTTCTATACAGGACTAGTTTATCATGTGGAATGAAAATTATTTTCTCTTTCATCATTAATTACAGAAGGGTAAGAAGTAAATTGTCAGGAGGAAAAAAAAGAATAACTTTACCATAACCCAACAAACACTACCTCAACCAGGTGATCAAGGTCAATGTTAACAAATGCTAACTCAAGTTGATAGTATGTATGCTTGGTGTGTGATGTATTGAAGTGGCATTTTACCTCTGTGGTCTTCCTCCTCAAATCCCATTACTTCAACCTAACCATGAAAAACACCAGGCCATTCCCAACTGAGAGGCTTTGTACAAAATACTTGACTGGTACTCCTCAAAACTGTCAAGATCATCAAAAACAAAGAAAGACTTAGAAACTGTTGCAGTCAAGAGGAATCCACCAAGACAGGATGACTGCATATAATATGGTATCCATAGAACAGAAAAAGGACATTCCGTAAAAACTAAGGAAATCTGAGGAAGTATGGATTTTAATTATAATATCATTATTCATTAATTTAAAGAAAAAACATCCATACCATAAGTTGTTAATAAGAGCAAAAATAGTTGTACTAGACATATGGAATTTTGTTGTTTTCTGTAAATCTAAAACCTTTGTACACAATTGAGCCTATGAAAATATGTTTACACACACACATACACACATACACACACACAGTGAATAATCCAAGAATACCGACAGAACCTGTAACATGACTAGATGGAGAATATTTGCCCCTATCTTGAAAGCCAATCCAATCAAGATGAATAGCTTTTTCTTAAATTAGTGCAATTTAGTTTCCTGTTGATTTTTGGAGTTTTATGACTGGCTTTTGAATATTTAAAGATAGGGCCAAGTTGCAAAGGAATGATTCAGTCTATTCCTGTGTTCCCAGTAGATATTCTTCTGGAATAACTGAATTCCATTGCAACATATGCTTGCAGAGCTTCCCTGGCTGGCACTGCAGACCTTCCACCCACTACCCACAGTCCAGTGTCAAGCTACTCCAAGGTGTTAGTTTCTCTCTCTTTAGAAATTAACAAGGGTTCCTGAATCAATCCAGAAACTGATAAAATAATTATCTCAATTCAAAACACAAATGCCACATCCTGTTTATACTAATTGGTAACTCCTAAAGTCTTACATGTAGCAATATCAGCAACTTTGTCATCAATAGAAATCTTAGATGTGTTGGGGGCTGGGGTTGTGGCTCAGCGGTAGAGCGCTTGCCTAGCACGTGTGAGGCCCTGGGTTCAATTCTCAGCGCCACATAAAAATAAATAAAATAAAGATATTGTGCCCAATTACAATAAAAAAAAAGAAATCATAGATGTGCACCCAGCACATTACAGTTATTATAGATATCTTGAAATATTGTTTACACTATCATTGCTTTGTAATTATAGTTATTAGTATTTGCTAGTTATTAGATTTGCTACTGTATCTTGATATTTAATATATTAATTATGCATGTGGATTACTGTATTACAAATTTTAAAGTATTTTGACAATTGTATTTTAATATAATTGGTTTCTTTTGTGATTCTATGGTATTTTAAAAAATATATTTATTTATTTATTTATTTATTTATTTATTTATTTTGTGTGTGTGTGTTTTGTTTTGATTTTTTTTGGTGCTGGGGATTGAACCCAGGGCCTTGTGCATGCAAGGCAAGCACTCTACCAAATGAGCTATATCCCCAGCCCCCTAAAAAATATATTTGAAAACATTTTTCTGAGAAGGAGTTCAAAGGCTTCTCTAGATTGTTAAGAAAGCTCACAGAACAAAAAAGTTTAAGAACCTCTGAAGTAGTGGAAGAAACTTGAATTGAGTCATAAATTGTGTACTCTCCATCAAATTCACCCCTAGGATACTCATTTTTCTCAGCAGTGCCTACTCTATAAGGAATCACTATTATTATTTGTTATCCTTGGCCATTAGATAAAAATGACTTTTTACCAGGGTTTTAAATGCAGTTCATTGCAAGGAATATTTTTCACCCAATGATTTAGACCATGCTTACATGAGCAAAATGAAATGGAAAATTGAGTCAATTCTCTAGATAATAATTCACACTAATAGGTTCCTACATTTGCCTGCAACATCCAGATAATCAAAGAAAAAATGTTTTTAACTTGAATTATCAGCATAGCAACATCACAATTCTCAACTGCACTTCGAATACGTAGATTCAAGTGCCAGAATTGACGTTCTTAAGAATATGAAGAGGAATGTGACTCTTTCTGGAGATACTCCAAATACACACACTGAGATAACTCATATATTCCAGAGATGTTTGTGGTTGACTGTGCATCAAGATACATACTCACGATTGATTAGAAATGAGTTCTGTGTTAGATAAACCTTTTTCATTCCATCTGGATCCACAGATCTCTAAACCAATTGGACTTCTGTGTAATACTTCTGTCTTAGGACAGTACTGTCTAGTTCAGACCTTCTGGTCATTTGTATGAATGTAGTGAATGTTTTAAATGGAAACACAGGCTTACTCTTGACTTGAAGTGTATAGATCCTAAGCAATCTATACACAATAGTGTACATTCACTGATCTTTTTTAAAAAATATATTTTTAGTTGTAGATGGACACATATCTTTATTTATTTTTTTGTGGTGCTGAGGATTGAAGCCAGTGCCTCACATGTGCAAGGCAAAGGCTCTACCACTGAGCTACAGCCCCAGCCCCATTCAGTGATCTTTTAAGAAAGCTTAAAAATTTCTGTGATTTGGATATGGTTTGTCTCTCAAGGTTCATGTGCTGGAGGCTTGGTCCCTAGGGTGGTGCTATGAAGAGGTGGTAGAACCTTTAGAGCTGGAGCCTAGTGGAAACAACTTAGGCTATGAGCATTACCCTTAGAAGGGATTGATAAAAAGATCTGTTGCCTGGGGAGGGTGGGGCGTGCATGCCTGTAACCCTAGCAGCTTGGGAGGCTGAGGCAGGAGGATCATGAGTTCAAAGCCAGCCTCAGCAACTGAGTTAGGCTCTAAGCAGCTCGGCAAGACCTTATCTCTAGGTCAAATATAACAACGGGCTGGGAATGTGACTCTGTGGTTAAGCATCCCTGGGTTCGATCCGAGGTAACAACAACAACAAAAAGTCTATTGACTCCTTAAATGTTTGATGTCTTGTCTCACCATATACTCTCTCCTCATAGGCATTTGCTCCTCCTAATATCCCATTCACCATGCTGTGATGTAGCCAGAAGGCCCTCACCAGAGCCTAAGAAGATATAGGTATCATACTGTTGGATCCCCAGAACTGCAAGATCACTCTTCTTTATAAGTTACCCAGGCTGGCTGTGGTGGTGCACATCTGTAATCTCAGCATTTTGGGAGGCTGAGACAGAAGGATTGTGAGTTCAAAGCCAGGCTCAGCAATTCAGCAAAACCCTAAGCAATTCAGTGAGACCCTGTCTCTAAATAAAATATACAAAAGGGCTGGGGATACAGCTCAGTGGTTAAACACCCCCTGGATGCAATCCCTGGTACTGACAAAACAAACAAACAAAAAACCCAGTTACCCAGTCTCAGTTATTTTATTGTGGCAACAGAACATGGACTAAGACATAAACCAAATGTACACTGAAAAGACTTGAATTAGTTAGAAAATAAATAAAGAACTGGAAAGTCTTTGTGAGTCTGATCTTTTCCATCCCATGATAGAATTCATTCAGTCTAAAGAATGTATTATATTTTCTCTCTCAGCTATCCCCTCTCATAACTCTACACCTGAAGCTCTAAAGAAGAATTTAATTCAGTTGACATAATTATGTTGAGAAGATAAACTATAGCCATATTGACTCTAGGTAATTTTTGCAACAAAAAGAAAGTTATCTGGCCAGTAGACCATCACTTCAAACACATATTACACATGGTATTAGTTTTCTGGTGGTTTGTTGGCAATCTTTGGTATTCCTGGTCTTATAGAAGCATCACCCCAATCTCTGCCTTCATTTTCTCATGGTGGTTTTTCTGTGGGTGTTTCTCTGTGTTCACATTTCCCCCTTTCTGTAGGGACACCAATCTTATAATAATCATATCAGCCATAGCCATACTTCTAAAAAAAAGTCACATTCTGAGTGATGAGGGTTTGGACTTCAGCATATGAATGGGGTGGGGGGGTGTCACAATTTAAGCCATATCATACACATTAAGTATTCAATATATATTTGAAATATTGAATTGAAAGGTAATATGCCTATGAAAAGCTAGAGGGCCTTGAACTTCATGAGAGGAAATGACAGTACTCAAAAAGCTCTGATGTCAGTGTAACCATCAACTTAGCAGTGAAATCAATTCCACTTTCTCTCTATCTTTAAGGTAATTACTAACAGCTGTTCTTAATAGTGAGAAGAATGAGCATGTATATTGAGGCTTCATCCACACAGTTTTAGAGATTCTGGTAGAGGATTGGATAGACCTATGCTTTTAAGGCTGTGGTGAGGCAGCACTTCATGGTGGCAGTGCATGGTGGAGCAAACCCTCTCACCTTATGCCAAGAAACAAGAGAATGAGCAATTCACTTCAATTCACTTTAATGCTTCACTGTTCCCTATAACATGGGCATGTTTTCTAACACAGAAAGGATCCTTATGCTAGTAACCCTTGGGTAAAGTTGAGTCCCTAATCTAAAGATGGATCAAGCTTACACTATAGTTCCTTGTTCCTTCCAGAATACTGTAGGTCTGTTTAATCACGCAATTTGAGTAGGGTGTCTTTACTGCCCAAGAATTTGTATCTCTGAGAATACACCCAAAGAAGGGAGATATTCCATAGGATCAATCTTTCATTGAAAGAAAGTGAAGAAATGTGGAGAGCAATGATCTAAATCACAGCCTGTCTTGTGGGCACATTGGCACTGGGAACTGCCTGTACAAAGTTTCAGGCCCAGATGCTCCAGTTGCTATGGTGACACTGGCCTGAGAAGGCTCCATGCCAAAGTGCAGAGCTGTTATCAGTTGAGGCCTTGAGTTCAGCACCTTCTCCCATGGATAGTAAATTCTGAGCAAAACAAGATAACCCTAATGTCTCACCAGTCCTGCATCCTTCAGATTGCCTACTTTGCTGAAACGTTCCTACAATTAACCTTTTGATGATAAAACCTATATAATAAACCTGCTGAGCTCACTCTGAGTAGGTCAAGCTTCACCAGGGCTTGGCTACCCACCTGGCCCTAGCTTTTTTTCCTATGTGTGTCTGTTTGTCTTTCCTCTATCCCTCATTGCCCCTGCACATCAGGTATCTCATTAATTAATGGCCACAGCCAGGAGAGATAAAAAGGTCACGGCAATGATATGGTTTAACTTAGGCCTAAGTTCCAATTCAAAATTAAGAAAGAACTTGCCCTTTATTACATATTTTCCTCAATTTTAATTTAAGATATCCATATGCATAATTTAAAATGTTAAAGTTCTATAAATTTTATAACGAAAACCAACAATTTCCATCTTACTTTCCTCATCCACAATTAATGCTACCCAGAAACAACCACTTACACACATTTAGGTCTTTCTTGTGGTATTTACCTTGATATTTCTAAATGACATTTCTAGAAGGCTACCACCTTCTATTTTTTAATTTTGGTTATCATCTATCATTGACTTCCCACTCTGTACGATGATATTCTCTTACACCCCCCATATTCTTCCAATTCTCACCCCCTCTTCTTAACATAGTTTGTGCTAGTCATTTCTGTCATTATAAGAAAATACCTGAGATAATTAAATTATAATGATAAAAGGTTTATTTTGGGCTCCCAGTTTTAGAGATTCTGGTAGAGGATTGGAGATAGACCTATGCTTTTAAGGCTGTGGTGAGGCAGCACTTCATGGTGGCAGTGCATGGTGGAGCAAACCCTCTCACCTTATGCCAAGAAGCAAAAGAGAGTGAGCATGGGGTCAGGATACCACAATCCACTTCAAGAGCACACTCCTAAAGAACTAAGGCACTATCGCTTAAAGTTTTCACCAGCTCCCAATAGTACCTCCCTGGGACCAAGATTTCTAACACTTTTAAGATCCAAACTTAGATAATATTCGACTTCCTTCCCTTTTCCTCTTTCTCTGTCTTCCTCTCCCTCACTTGTGCACACACTCACATGCACACGCACACTTTCTCTTTTGAGGCATCCCTTCTGGAGTCCTTCATCTCTCTGTTCTACTCAGAGATGCTGGTTGCTCCCCAGACCTGCTGCATCCAGCTGTCATCCAGGAATTTCCTCTGTCATCATTCTGGGATTCACTTCATCTCATTCCTATACTCTGTCTCCTATCTCTTGTTTCTTGGATCTCAAACATTCTTCTTTCTTAATTTACTTGCTTTTGATGGACCACAAGTTTCAGTCGCTTTGCTAAGAAAAGGTAGGTGGGAAGTCTATATTTCTGTTATCAATTTGTTACCTCTTAACTCTATTGTTTTTCTTTCTGATACTGGAGCTGGATCCTGTCAACATTCCTTTTGCCAGTTGGAATAATGCTAGCCTTTGTCAGTTGCAGGCCCTGGAAGGATTCTGTAAGTCACAGCAGAGAAAAAAGTCTTCTTGATTGCCTCACGCAGCTGCCAACAGGTGGACAGGGGACTTGGTGGCACTTACCCTCCATCACACTCCGGGGCCAGCTTCTTGTGGATCTGTTTTGGCTTCTGGTATCCCTAAGGAACTTCTCTGCCATTCCTCAGGCTTCAACCACACCCTCTATGATGAGATCTGAATTTCATCCTTTGGAGGAGGAAACCTTTCCAGTTGATTCCTTCCTCAGTTATGGATATTTTATCTCAGCCCTAGAGGAAGCAGAGGCTCCCTACACTTAGTATTCTCATATTCTTTAGGATCTTCTTTTACCCCCTTCTTAGTAGTTAATCATCTTTTACTAATTATGAATTCTTTGTATTCAGTTGTCCCTGCATCAGTCAGAATTCTAACTTAATTTTGTCTGATAATTTGCACATCTGAAAATGCCTTTATTCTATCATTTCATTTGATTGAATACTTGGCTAGTAGACAATTCTGGGTTGAGAATATTTCCTTCAGAATTTTGAATCCCCTTATATCTTTTTCTAGTTTCCATTGTCATTGCTAAGAAATTTGATGCCAGTTTGATTTCTGATTCACTGAACAATATTAAAAAAAAAAATCTCTGGAAGCTTTTAGGGTCTCCTCTTTATTATAGGGTCCTGGTATTTCATGATGAGTCTTGGTATGACTTTCATAGGTGTCTTGGTATTGCGTTGGACATAATCTGGAAACTGATGCCACTGAGTGTGAGACATTGTCTTCAATTATTTCTTTAATAACATGCTCCGCTTCGTTTTCTCTACTCCTTCTTTCTGGAATTTCTATTATATGGATATTGTACTGTGCACACAGGTCCTCTAAATTTCTAAATTTTTCTCTCCCATTCCCACCTCTGTCTTTTGTTTTTCTCTTAGCAGATTAACTTAACTCTTTGCACAATCTTTCTCTGCTACTGTGTAAGTTCACTGAAGAGCGAGGCATTGGGAAACTAGATGGAGCTTTTGTGTGAGTGGTGGTCTTCATCCCAGGGTGGCTGGACTGGACAGTCATAGTGCCCTCTGTAATATCTGTGAGTCTTTCCTCTTGAGTAGGTCTGTTTCCCCAGAGAGGAATATTCCAATCTTCTTGGGGGTGTCAGTCTGGATGCCATTGGTTTGGGGAGCTAAACAAAAGAAGGGTGATGAGATTCTTACCTTTCTTACATAGACTTTCATTTTCACTATAGTATAGCTGTTTCTGGCTTCCTGATCTCCTATGACCCAAGCTACTACAGTGCGGCCTCTTCAGAGAGAAAATCAATTTTCCATTGGGGTTTGGGTTGTTGTTATTTGGGGTACAGAGGAGCTCTGAGGGGTTCTAACTATATCCTATACAGACTTGCCCACCCTTCCATTTTTAGCACCTGTAATTTCTGAGTTTTTCTGGGGTTCTGTGGAGCTAATTATCTTGCTTCTGGGCTGTCCCCCCCCCCCCACGTTTCCTCACCTCTGGTTTGCTTCACCTTTCTTTTATTTAGTGAATAATATACCACTCACGTATCTGCCTTCCTCTCTCTGATATGTTATACTGTTTTCTCCTCTTTCTTTTGCATCACTCTTAAAGGTGTATGTCTTTTAGGCAATCTCTTTTGTGGTAGTAAGGTTTGGGAAGGAAGTGGAGGCAAACTCATGTATTTAATCTGGTTTATTTGAACAAAAGTCTTTTTTGCTTCTTAAAGTTTCATTCTATGAGGCATGAGATAAGAAAAAATAAAATTTCTCCCACTAGGCCTGTGGGGTAAATCTAGATAGAAATGCTACTTTAAAAAAAAACATTTTTAGCTGTAAACGAACGTAACACCTTTATTTTATTTATTTGTTTATTGTTATGTGGTGTGCTGAGAATCAAACCCAGTGCCTCACACATGCTAGGCAAGCTCTCCACCACTGAGCCACAACCCCAGGCCCAGAAATACTACTTTTTCTATATGCAAAGCTTACTCTTGGGAAAATACAAAATTTGAATTAAGATATCCTCTATGAACATAAACCTTTAAGACCTTAAGCATCAACACTTCAGTAAGTTAGAAATCCACTGAATTAACAGGTAAAAAGATACAATGAAGACTGCCTACATTAAA